TACTGAATAAATAAGTGGAGTGAGAAGAGAACAGCGAAGAAAGCATGAGCACAATTGAGTGGTAATGAAAACGTAGTGATCATTTACATTGATTCAGAAACACAAGAAGTACATACCCTTTTCATTCAGTCAATAACAGACCCTCTAGATTAGTCCGTATAGCTTTGTGAATAAAACAGTAACTGAAAAGTAATAATCAACACAATCTGAATTAGTTAATATCACCAAGCAGAAAAACTGAAATCTTTATTGCTCCAGTAAAAGTAGACTAGATATTTCAAATAAATGAGAATCATACAAAGTACTAATTAGTTCAGCTCATATTAATATGTACTTTAGTTTATCTATTTAAGTTAAAGAATCAATTATGAGGTCATATCCTCACACAACAGTCACTATTAATTAAATCGTGCATGATTGGAATCGAGTTATAAAAGTACAAATCAATATTACCTCTGAACAAGCGAGTTATTTATTTCTATCCTCCTAGTTAGAATTGTTAATTCGCAGTAGTATGTTCTTCATTGATTTGCAAGATCTTCTCTGTTAGATCCGCATCAGAGACATTGATCGGAAGACATCAGAAGGAATAACAAAATTCTGGAATTTTCTCAGAATCAAAGTATGAAATAAACATACTGGTACAGTGTGGCGTTTACTGGCAATGCTAAAACTTCTGTAACTATTTTGCAGTTTATTATCATTTGTGTTTTGTTTGTTTAGTTAGTAGATAGTTGTATCACTGTATTTTTGTATTCTCCCCATTGTAAATCTCAAGTTTACATATTATCTATAAAGAACATACTATTGCGAATTAACAATTCTAACTAGGAGGATAGAAATAAATAACTCGCTTGTTCAGAGGTAATATTGATTTGTACTTTTATCACTCGATTTCAATCATTCACGATTTAGTTAATAGTGACTGTTGTGTGAGAATATGACCTCATAATTGATTAGTTAATTGATATATAGGAGATAATTGACCTGAATTATAGATTTCTCGTGACTATCGGATTAACACACAACACAATGTAAACCAGTGTTCACTGTTCATGTACACTCGAACCAATTTCATGTAACGTCTAACGATAATTGATATCAGAAATAATTTGTTGAACAAGTCATTATAGTCAACTCTTCGTATTATGTATGTTTGTATTACTTAAAATGTTAACCAGCTTCTGACATCAGTTATTAATAACATAACAGTGGATTGTTGTATAGGGATCGATGTATCACTTTATCCTTAAAGTTTGTCATCAAGAGATTTATTGCTGAATATAAATATAAAAGTCTGGCAACACTAAATCAACACGAATGTTTCTGATTCAAAGTCACCAATTTTTCACTTCACACGAAATCGTACCTTTCACATCTTTTCTGGAATAATTTTATAATAAATAGTAATTGGAGGAGTCAACCAATTAACCTATCACCCATTTGTTTTAATGAGATTGTTCACATTTTTATTGTGTCAGTTGATCATACCGCATTTCTTATGTGAATAATTGCTTCACGTACAAACTTTCAGTACTTCTTTTTTTCTCGGACCGAATCAAATGTGAGAATTCGTTAAAACTTTTCAGAATTAAATCTCTCATCATTAGTTATCATGACATTTCAACTGCACAGACTAAGTACAATATGGGGAAGTTCAAGAAAAATATAAATAACTGACATTCTCTTAGGCATTTCCAAAATACTTTATGTGTCCATTGTAAGTCTTATAAGTTATTTCCGGCGTCTTATAACTTAGTACGTTCGAGAATTACCGTGATATTACTTCTCAAACTCGAATTCTGAATCGACGGTGCATATTTCAAAATACAAAAATTGTTTGCTGCATCGATAATGCACATTGTCTTTAAAAAACATTTATGATGTTACTAAGACACTCGATTACGTTAAAATTAGTGATCATCAGCAGCGAATATTTAAGACATTATTTTGTCACATAGTATATAAATTGAGTATATAGTGTATAGAAATGCCTACTTTATTACTTATTTACTTTAGAAACCTAGGAATCTCAGTCCTACGAACAGTAATTGAACTTATATCTTATAAACATTTTTATTACAACTGCATGTTCATTTTTAGGATACAAATGCGAAAATTATGTAGCCATTTAAAAATCCATTTGGATATAATAAAATTTATTTTTACTTTAAATCACATTTTTTTGAAATTAGAAGGAAACTACATAGGAACCATGAGTGACTAGTTCGAATTCCATTCAACACTGTCAAGGATTGAAACGTTGCTCTCAACACAATTACGTTGTTATAATCCAATGACAGATATTTAACAGAGACCACTCATTTTCAAATGGATCATAATGATCTCAAAGATTCTGTTCCTCGCTTTTTAATGAGGTCTCTTTGTCAAAATCATTTTAGTTGAGTTGGTTTTGAAGCTGTAACGTATACACAGGATATGATGTTTATATTCACACTCACTACATTTAGATAGGAAGATATCATTGGTAAGCCAGATTAGCTGCTTTACCTGATAAAAGTTGAAAATCAGCATCTGAGTTCTATATGTTCAGTGATTTCAGTTGAGCAAACTACAAATGAAGAGCAGAAATTTTCAAACTAGTCAGTTTAGAAGTGAGTGAATTAAATGAATGGCATACGTTCAAACAATTGTTGTTAAAACGATGTTATTGAACAGCCAGTTACAAAGAAGTTACAGTGTCAAATTAAGTTCGTTGCGTAAAATTACAGCAGCAAACTCTGTGCTATAGAAATAACTTTAATTATATTTAACAGTTTTAATTAACTAAGACAATGTTCAAACTTCTATCTCATTATACAGAATGCATATTATACAGATATCTAAAAATTTTATAAATCGCATGATATAACAGCAATGGCTTACGAGTCACCTCGGTAAGTAAAGACTAGAAATGATAACCACGTTTCTCAAACCGAGGTAGATTGTGGTGAGTATTAGAGAGTAGAGATGTGTGCATGTGGTTCATCACTCCACACTATGTCAGGTCAAAACAAGTGAAAATGTGAAGTAGGAGGAAAATAATTTATAGTGATCAACAGGAAATTCATTTATTGATGTGGATTAGAAAAAAATATGTTTACCATATAATCACAGGTAGAACTTACATAATTGCTAAGTATTTATGAAACCGGTGAATTTTTAATACGAAGCCTAGCTACATTCGATGCATCGTTTTTCAGCTATCCTGATCCGTTACATCTTGCTTACTTACTTACACCTGTAACCCCTCGTGGAGGAGAGTAGGCCTCTCCTCACCATCCTCCATACAACTTTATCCTGGGAAATCCTTTCCAGTCCTTTCCAGTTGCTATTCATTCTTTTCATGTCTGATTCTAATTCTCGGTGCAGTGTGTTCTTTGGTGTTCCTCTTCCCCATTTTTATTCAGGATTCCAAGTTAGCTCTTGCTTCGTGGTGCAGTTTGATTATTTCCCCAATGTGTGACCTATCCACTTCCAACGTCGTTTCCCAATTTCCTCTACAGGTAGAAACTAGTTTATTCTCTCCCACAGAAGGCTATTGCTGATGATACCCGACCAACGGACATTCGGTGTCATACGTTGACAATTGTTTATAAAAACGTGTACTTTTTGACTATGGTTGTGGAAGTTCTCCACGTTTCAGCTCCGTAAGGTTCTCCTATCCACGCAGTCAAATGCCATCTTGTGTTCAAAAAAGTTGATGAATAGTAACGAGTTCCACTCAAGTGATCGTTCAACAATGATCCATAGTGTCCAATTTGGTCTGTGCATGATCGATCCTTACGGAATCCAGCATGTTGATCTGGAAGTGGAGAGTGTGCTGAGTCTTTCATGACCAGAGTACAGCAGCACCGCTCCTGAATTTATCCATTTCTGTCCAGCTTAGTTCCAACGGGTTTCACTGATTCTGAGCACGGACAAGTTGAATCTAGTCATTTCTGTAGCTATTCGACTGGTCATTCCAGTATCCCACATTGTCCGGACATTCTGTATAGCTACATTAATTGTTGTTCTGCTTGTTAGAAGAGGCATCGTCCTCATAACTTAAGAAGAATTACGGCCTTTATCATGAGGCGTCATAATTTTTTTATTCAACTAGGTGAGCAGAGCTTATGTGGTTTAAATAGCTTATTCTGGTCTGCGTTCTTTTTAGCAAGGTTGATTTCAATGGGATGGGATCGTTGTCCGTATGCTCAATCCTCCTCCTTCACCCAGGTTTGGGATCGGCATTAACCCTAGAATGGCCACAGGTAAAGTTCCGTTGTATCTAGTTGATGGAATTTCACAAACAAACCTTTGTTACCGAGCTTCTCCACCTCTTTCAGACCAATCTCAACATTTCGAGCCTTTAAATGATCAACTAACAACTTCTTACCTGTTAGATAAATATCCCACTCTCCTGATGTCCCATAAAATTCTGCAAGCTTTTCAACAATGCTATATCCAATGCCTCCATTTGATCCAATTATTTAAACATAAGTAATCTCGGCTTCTTTATAGAAGTCACTAAAAGAGGATAATGTCTGGAGCAAATACATAGAAACGCGTTTCTGTGTTTTAACACCACAGAGCTCAGAAGGATCCAAACACGAGCGCATTTGAACCAATAATTACATCATTAAGCACTTATTTTATTTTATTTGAGTGATCATTGGCGTCAACTCATTCAATAAGGACACAACTTATCGTTAATAAATTATTGGTTAACGAATAACGGGATTATTGGTTGTATCGCGTTGTTCATGCCAGCTTTTTAGGTAATGATTCTGTATTTTCCAATCAGAAAGATGTTCTATCGCATGTACTAGAAAACTACCGATTGCAAGCATCATTATGATTGGTAGTTGAAATTCAATCAGTGTAGGCGTGTGAAGTGTTCAGATATTGCCCTGATAAATTGTCAACATATTGCTTAACACATTTAGTTCTCATTCAGTAGGTTTGCTAGTCGACGGATTCAGTACACGACGGTATTTTATCCGTATTTTGGTGCTATCATGAAACTGGCATTCGTATGATGAGTTTACTCATCTTACAAAAAATTTATTACTCCTCTTTAGGTAACTGGGTCAAACAAAGGCATTGGATATACCATTGTTGAAAAGCTTGCAGAATTTTATGGGACATCAGGAGAGTGGGATATTTATCTAACAGGTAAGAAGTTGTTGGTTGATAATTTAACAGCTCGAAATGTTGAGCTTGGTCAGGAAGCTGTGGAGAAGCTCAGTAACAAGGGCCTTGATGTTAAATTTCATCAACTAGATATAACTGATCGAGATAGTCGAAAAGCGTTCCTAACATTTGTAGAGAGAAACTATCCTAATGGAATCAACATTGCAGTGAATAATGCTGGGATTGCATTTAAAGTTGTTTTGTTCTTAAAATCTCATATGTCTTTATAGGCTGACACTCCAGAGTCACATGGCGAGCAAGCACGAGTCACTGTTAACACCAACTTCACTTCGACTGTCGATTTCACGGAAGAGTTCATTCCTTTACTGGCTGAAAATGCCAGGTGAGCTAGAAGAATTAGTTCCTACTGTTTAGAGTCGTCAACGTATCTTCTACTCTTTCTTTGTCCAATCTGATGGAACTTAGTGACGATCTGTACGAAAAATTTGTCGGCAAAATGAATCTTTTCGAACTAAAAGAACTTATGGCGGAGTTTGTAAGGTAAATTAATTTTTTCATTGAGGTTGGTGTTGAGTACTATAGCCGATTTGATTTGATTCCATAATTTTATAACTCGAATTGATTGCTGTTGTGAAATGTATTTTCTAAAAGTTTTCCGGCATTGTTAAATTTTTTGGAACGTAAGTAGTTAATTTGCGAGGTGTCTTTTCTACACAAAATGTGTTTAGTCATAACTTTGAAATTTGGAAGGCAACAATTTGTGTCGCGTTTATATACTACTTTTGTGAATTTCTTTGGTGGTATGGTTGGTTTCAGATTCGTGAAACTACAGGAGTTTAAGGTTTCATGTAACATATAGTTCTTTCTGTTTGTCTCAAATATAATTGCTTTTGCTTTGAATTTATTATTAGGTCTGCTGAGGATGGTACTTATTCTGAGAAAGGTTGGGTGTCAAGTGCGTATGCGGTATCTAAAATAGGCCTTACAAAGGCTTCATTTATTTTTGGTGAAATGCTGAAAGATGATCCAAGAGGGATTGTGATAAATTCGGTTAGTTTGTTTTGTCGATATTGTGACGATTTGTGTTTCCTGTTGTATAAATCGTTTTAATTATAGGATTAGACTTATAACAAAACTAAGAGTAGTATTTGTTGTAACAGTTGGATTATGCGGTGTGTGCACGGAGTTGTAGTTCGATTTACTTATATTTTGTACATAATGAATATACGGCGTTTTTGTTGTTTCATGTTATAAAGTTAGACACATGTTCTTTGTTGTACAGCAAGTATTGAAGGTCATGTTTCCCGTTAACCACTCCTTTTATACCGCGTTCACTCAGCGAGATTACGTTGTTGCACTGAATATCAGAAAGAATTAGACAGAAACTGTGTTTAAGCCCTATCATAATTAAAAAATTCTTGGAGGGTGGACAAAATGTTTGTCTTATGCAGGATCACACACTGTATTTGTAAAATATGAAAATACACTATTTGTCCACCTTTCTTAAGTTGTCCCATACAAAATTCATCGTTCCTTCATGACTGTTGGTATTTCGATTGTTTTCTGCTTTCCTTTCTCTTCTCTCCATTTTCCCCTTCTGTCGGTAAAAACTCTACTTTCAAGTCCTGATGTATGCTAAAAGTAGTACACAACACACTATTCATATGCGATTGTTATTAACTTAAAATTTTCTAAGCCGTAGGATCCTTGGTGTGGTATATGCTTTCAGTCCTAATGGAATGAAAGTCACTCTGTTTTTAAGAATAGTTATTTTGATTAAAATTATGGTCGGTTGATTGCAATGATTGGGAAGCACAGTTATTTTGATTCACTTCCTCGGAAATTATGCTGAAATGACCTAAGTATTATTGTGTTGTTACTTTCATAGTATCTGAAAATTATATTTGAAATAATCTCAGTGATTGAAATTTAAACAATTCCAACGTTTCGTCCAGTAAACTTGTCTGGAGTTATTTAGATTTCAGCCGCTTAGATGATCTCAAATGTAATTTTCGCATATAATATCTTCTCTATACTCGGCGCCAAATTTCTGTCAAACTATTCGGTTTAATATTGCCGAATATTCGTACATATTTATCATTATACTTCAAGTAACTCACTCTGAAAAGTAAACTGAAATGTCAGGTATTCGCTCATGTAATGAATGAAATCCTCACTCGAGTGCTACACATTGTTTATTGGATAGTAATAATTATCGTTTCTTCACACTGAAACTATCTTTAATTTGTTTACAGTACTGCTCTTTTGGAAGCAAGCTTCACCAGAAATGTCTTCGGCATCTCAATATCTCTGTATTAGGTACACCATTACTGGATGAGTGTGACTAATTTTCCACTGCTCCATGGTTTAAAAACCTACTGTAACTTAGAAATATTTCAGCTAGACTTCAACTGGAATAATCGAGGTTGTTTAGGGTGCCATGAACTTGGTTTGTATTTGCTATAATAGTTGAGTCGGTGCCTAGGGAAGGTAATTGTCTCAGTTGTTGAAGGCTAAGAGTAATTAATTTCGTGAGTGGTATTGTTAAAGTGATTATTTGAGAGTTTGTGATTGCTTGGAACTGAATGGTTTTAATCTTAACATAACATTTGATAGTTTTGTTCAATTAGATTCTGATACTTTATCTTCGCGTTTTCATCATTTCGACAGTGTTGTCCTGGTTTTGTTGACACTGATATGACTGACCATAAAGGTGTGAAGACAACGGATGAAGGTGAGTCTATATCCTTGTATATATGTATTATCTGAAAAGTCAGTTGTTTTGACAGAATCATTTGACCATTATTTTGTTGAGTTCGGGAACAGCTGAGCATCAGGAGAGCGTACTATTGTCTAGCATTTGGGTTTCAACTGTCGAATGTGATGATTGACTGTAACGTGAAGGGAAAATGCGCACTAAAACAAGTGCAGTCGAATATAATAAGAAGAAATTATGTTCGGTCTTTAATAGCATCCCATAAATGTTCCTTGATCTTTAGTCTAAATTCATAAAGAATTTATTTACTTTGTGTTGCAAAATTGTTTTCAAGATTTTTCATGAAACCCGAATATTCCCTTGAACTTTAGGTATGAAGTACGTGATCATTGTGATCGAATACCTGTAGATTTTCAAATAAACCCCTATTTGATACTGGTTTGTTTTTCGTGAAACCACACAATGGAAGTCACGATATACTAAACTCGTTTCATCTCTACATTTCATTGATAAAATCACTTGAACAGAGATTACAATTTTATAAGCTAGGGTCAGGTATGAGATCAGATTTCATAAGGAATGTGAAAAATGTACTCAGGTAGGAGTGATGTGAACTTATATTAAAGCATATGTAAGTAATTACAATGTTATTTCTGATTATTCGAGGAATCGATTTTCGTCAAAAATGTGTACTATTCCTTTACCAGCCGACGTATGTCAGTAAGAACTTCATGTCGGATTGGGTTCACCGCAGTCAATAGGGTGGTTAGGAAAATTACATCACTCGTGAGTCTTTGTAGCTGATCACTTAGGCAAAATGTTGTGCTTCTCTTGATGTTTTTAGGTGCTGATACACCGTTCTATTTGGCCACATTACCGATTGGCTCAAAAGAGCCAATTAATCAATTCGTCTACGAAAGGAAGGTGGTCAAATGGTCCAAATGATCTTCACATAAATTTTATTCTACCCAGATATATGAACAGAATGTTATTGCTGAACTTTCTTATCAACGTACGAGATGTTACCCACTTGTTTTATTAGATTTCAGATGTGAATCATTCTGTTTCTTGGTCTAATCTGTTTACGAATAGAAGCGATTTCTACCTTATCATTATTATTATTATTACTATTATTATTATTATTATTATTATTATTGTTATTAATATTGTTATCGTTGTTGCTATTCTGTGATGTTCGGCTGTACCATGTGTTGTTATTGAGAACATAGCTTCTTCGGTTTCATTTAATTTACTGGAATGTTTGTTTTGTGCATGTATTTCATTTTGGTCTGTTCATATGATTCTAACGTGTTTTCAAGTAATGAATGTTGAAAATGTTTACTGTGTGCAAACTGTTTAGTGAGACAACTGGTGTTTTACTTTGAGTTGAAGCTGAGAGTGGATGGTTTATATTTGAGTCCGCCTCCAATGAAATATATGACGATGGCGAATTGTTGTGAACAGGTGACTTGTAATAGTTTATTCTGAATTGAAATAGATTTCTGCACAAGTTTTATTTTATTTGATGAAATGTTCACTCACCGTTCTTCATTATATTATGTCACTAGGTGATTTCGATCAGCATTTATCAAACGAACTTTCGTTATTCTACAGTGGAGAGTAGTATGAATGTTTCGGTTTTTCAAGAAGATTGATTTTAAGAATATTTGTTGGACGGAATGAGATTAGTGGGGTATATATATGATTCATGATCTACATGGATGTTACGGTCGATTACATCTGGTATTACATCCTAGAGTATCGTATTTTATTTGTGGTTGGCAATGTTTGACTTGATAACCTAATGTGAGCTGAGAATGCGTTCATCTGTTTACAAACGTTTCTTAAGAAAGTCTTTTCAATTATGAAAATTCGATCACCCACATATCTGTGCTAAATGCGTGTTCTAATTTCACTAGTAGATATATGCGATTTTATAGGAGATATGAATAAGTTATCAACAATCAGAGACACTGGGAATCCCACTGCTATACCGTTTGTTTATTTAGATGAAAACTATGTGAAAGTTAACAAGATTGAATTTTGGGACAGTATGAGGGATTTCATGATCAAACTGGTGCTTAAAGAACATCTTCTAGATAGGGTATTATCATGCCCACCAAACTGTCAATAAAAAAGTCATATCTTAGTTCGTCTATCAAATTCATTAGATCCTTGAGAAAGCATGATATCTTACTGAGACTCATTGTGGACTTCCCAAACACCTGTGGTGGATCCCAGTAAAAGAGCTTATTTAAGATAAAACAATACGCAAGGTTACCAATAATATACCAAAAAGAGTTGAAACTACAACCCTAAGTGTCTGTCTATTAGTAAAGCAAAAGGCAACAAATTACAGTTACAATATAAGTGGTATATTAAACAAAAAATGACAACACTTGTTATGAAATGAATGTTACTTGTAAGCTGCTCTCCAAGATAACAACCACAAATGAGTTCACCTGATTAACGAAGATTCATCTGCACGTGGTGGCAACAACGTCGTAATAAGAAAGATTGAATCCAATAGTATTATTTAATAATGATCCGGGCCAAAAATCTAACGTAGTGTGGGACGGCCTGAAAGGTTGTTATAACACTATTATAATCTTCAATCAAAGACCGTGGCCAATAAAGCAGAAGAACAGACGGCGGAGAGTGTGTTTATATTTCAACCAACGTGGTAGTATATCAGTATATGTATATAACCAAACAATAATATCCGTTTTTTAACATTGATACAGAGAAGCAATAGATATTGAATGTAAATGTGTTTACATATAAAGTGTGATACATCAGAGTAAAAATGTGGTTTTTATTTTGTCGTTACAAAAGTCACTGAATATACGTGTCACCATACACCTTGACATGTACTGAGTCTATTTATTCGAAGAGTATACTGAAGCCATTTCTAAATGACTTACACAATAAGATTAATTATTCACATAACTCCAAGTCAAATGATTTGATAATGTCAATACTCTATCTAACAGTCGTTCAAAAAGTGTCAGTTTGATTATGAAATCCTTTGGGTTATGTGATTTCATTAGGTAAGCGAGCATTTAGGTACATATTCAGGTACCCTGACTTGTAAAACAATACTTCTCTTCCGTATGCATGTGGTCACAAACATATAAAATTATTAAACACAGTGGAATGTAATGTAACCGTTTGCATGCCGTTTAGGTTTTCATTGAAGCACAGACCTTGTTTCTCTAACAATAATGACTTTTGCTTTATAGTACGTTTTTCTGATAACTGATTTGAAAGTGGTTCAACACAAAGCTATTTGTCTCGTCTCTGAATGGGTATGGTGATGTAAACAGGCTTAATC